TGCTGCCCCAACTATTTTTAGATGGTCCAACCAATATGGCTTTTGTCTTCTTCCTGCTTTTCCATGCTGCGATGCAGAAAATACAACTGTGCTATAAGCATTTTCCTGATATTTCAGTGTTTCTTTCTCAAGGTCAGTCTCTTACCTCTACTCATGCTGCCTGGCATCAATCGCTTGAATTCCTTTTCTTGAAGTATTGGTACACTGCTATCCTTTTCAAGCACATCTCAGCCCAGCTACAAGAGTAGGCTCTTTCAATCTTTCTCAGTAATTCAGTCTTTCTAGACCCCTAGCATTTTGTTGAAATTAGTATCTAACTAGGTTTTACTCAGAGCATAATGATATAAATAACCCACACGTTAAATTTTAATTAGCAGCGGGAGGCTGCCTGTTTGCACAGTAGTTGATGTAGGAGTATACACACTACCCTAACAGTGATTGTTCTGTCTAGGAGTAAAAAGACACTGGTTTCTCTTACCTGAGATGGAGGAGAGGTGGAAAAAGATGTGGTACACACTTCTTGGGAGTCTTCGACTGAGGGGTATACTGCACCATTGTCTTCACCAGCTCTAAAGCAGCAAGAAAGAAAAGCTTTCTAACTGGAAATAGTCCTTAAAACAAACAAATAGTAAAACACACTGGGACAAACACTGCAGGGAGGTTGAGAGTATTTGGGCGGAGTTGAAAGGAGAATTATGAAGGGCTCTCATTTACTTGGCAGAACTGAGGAAAACAAGGTATGAATACTTTAATTTTCCCCAGGTGCTCCTCTTCTACCCTAGATAGAAACACTTCCCTCTGTTTATCTTAACTAAAGGTTTTGTTATATCAGCTATGCTACTGGCTTTGGTGTTTACAAAACCACTGTCAAATACCACCACTGGTCCCAATTTGAGTGCCCTCACATGCGTTTTAGAGAAGACAAACCTCTCATCTACAAAGAGAAATTAAACTCGTATCTTTCTCCCATGGAAATATCTGGGGATGCATGCCTCTGGACACGTAGTTCTACAGCAGGATTAACTGTTACACTTTCAAATTCCCAAATGCAGACGAGGTTAAACATCCTTTGTGTCCAAGCGGTTCTGTAAAGAATTTGGGAAAATACTGGGGCTTGCTGCACTCAGTCTTCTAGATGTGAGCAGAAAAATACCACCCTTGTTCATATGCTCAACCATGTCAATATGATTGACATTAATCCTCTAGTCTGCCTTCCCATGCAGGCAGCAAATAATGGAAAAGGCTCTGTATTTGGACTTAATTGATGCCTTCACCATGGCCCATGACTTCAACTCAGTACTTCCTCACCTGTAATTGCAGGGATGCATGGGTGAAGAGCTGGGATAGGGACGGTCCACAAAATGATCAATGATAATCCCCATGATAGGAGGGGTCCTCTCAAACTGCCTGCAAGGCAACAAGCAATCATGTTACTGGCTTTTTCTCTCTACTCTTATCCCAATTCATGGTACCCTCAGAGAAAACCCTTGTGTCTGTTAATGGGACCAGAGTATCTTTACAATTCAGCCTTGCAACTCCAAGCACGCATCAACAATTCAGAGTCCTAGAGTCTGGCTCAGGGCTACACAAATATTCCTCTTGCTGCAAGACTTATGCATGAGA